TATGTGGATTTATTTCTGGGTTTTCTATTATTTTCTATTGGTCGGTGTGTCTGTTTTTATGCTACTACCATGCTGTTTTGGTTACTCTGTATGGTTTTGTAATATGGTTTGAAGTCAGATAGTTGATACCTCCAGCTTTGTTCTTTCTGCCCAGAATTGCTTACGCTATTCGGAGGAGGCGGGGGGTCTCTCTTGGTTTTATATAAATTTTAGGATTAGTCTTTCTATTTCTTTGAAGAATGTTATTGGTATTTTGGTAAGGATTGCGTTGAATGTGTAGATTGCTTTGGGTAGAATGGAAATTTTACCAATATTAATTTTTCCGATTAATAAACATGGGATATCTTCCTATTTTTTGTGTGCCCTTCAGAATTTATGAGTTTTATAGTTTTCATTGTAGACATTTTTCACCTCATTGGTTAAATTTGTTCTTAGGTATTTTATATTTTTGTAGCTACTGTAAGTGGAACTGCTTTCTTAATTCTAGGAATTTTTATATGCTGATGCTGTGTCCCGCAACTTTACTGAATTCACTTATCAGTTTTAACAGTTTTAGGTGGAGTCCTTAGGTTTTTCTTTTTTTCTTTTTTTTTTTTTTTTTTTGAGACGGAGTTTCGCTCTTGTTACCCAGGCTGGAGTGCAATGGCGCGATCTCGGCTCACCGCAACCTCCGCCTCCTGGGTTCAGGCAATTCTCCTGCCTCAGCCTCCCGAGCAGCTGGGACTACAGGCGTGCGCCACCATGCCCAGCTAATTTTTGTATTTTTAGTAGAGACGGGGTTTCACCATGTTGACCAGGATGGTCTTGATCTCTTGACCTCGTGATCCACCCGCCTTGGCCTCCCAAAGTGCTGGGATTACAGGCGTGAGCCACCACGCGTGGGGATTTTTTTTTTTTTTTTTTTTAAATCAAGTCCTTGCCTGTTTTTGGTATTAGAATGAGTTTAAAAGCATTGTGTTTTCTTTAAAAATTTTTTGGAGTAATTTGAATAGGCTGATATTAGTTATTCTATGAATGTTCGGTAGAAATCAGCAGTGAAGCCATTCGGTCCCAGGCTTTTCTTTCCTGGGAGACTTTTTACTACTTTGATTTTATTGTTATTGGTCTGTTCAGGTTTTATATTTCTGATTCATTCTTGATAATATTTATATGTCTAAGAATTTATCCATTACCTCTAGATTTTCCATTTGTGAGTATATTATTGCTCATAATAGTATCTAATGATCTTTGTATTTCTGGGACCTCCATTGTAATTTTTTTGTGCGTGTTTCTAATTGTATTTGGGAGGTTCTTTTCTTTTTAGTCTAACCAAAGTTTTATTTATTTTTTTATTGTGTAAAAACCTTTTTGTCTGTTTGGCCCTTTGTATTTTTAGTCCTGATTTTATTTATTTGTGCTCTGATCTTTATTACTTCTTTCTACTAATTTTGAGTTCATTTTGTTCTTGCTTTTCTTGTTCCCTGAAGTGCATGTTAGATTGTTTATTTCAAGTGTTTTTATTTTTTAATGGGGGTGTTTATCGAGATAAAATTTCCTCATAGTACTGCTATTGCTTTGTACCATAAGTTCTTGTATGCTGTGTTTCCATTTTTATTTGTTTTCCGAAGTCTTTAAACTTCCTTCTTAATATTTTATTTACCAATTGGCCATTCGAGAGCTCACGAATTTCCATCTGTTTATGCAGTTTCCAAAGTTTCTCTTGTTGTTGATCCTAGTTTTATTCTATAGTGGTAAGAAAGTTAGCTGGTATAATTTTGACTTTCTGAATTTGCTGAGAAGTGTTTTTTGGTCTAACATATGGTATATCCTGGTGAATGTCCCATGTATTGATGAGAAGAACATGTATTCTGTAGCCGTAGGATGAAATGGAATGTTCTGTAAATGTTAGGTAGGGTTTTTTTCTTTTTTTTGTGGGGGGGGCGGTGTAGAGTTTAATTTACTTCTTCTGTCTAGATGTTCTGTCACTGACAGAACATCAGGAGGTGGGATGTTTAAGCCCCCTACCATTATTGTGTTCAAGTGTCTCTCCCTTTAGACCTATCAAGCTTTCCCTTTGTGTTTAGGTGCTCTGGTGTTGTGTGCATACATATTTATAATTGTTATACCCTCCTGCTGAATTGACCCTTTTTTCATTATATAATGACATTTTGATATGGTCTGGATATTCATCCCTCCAAATCTCATATTGAAATATATTCCTAGTGTTGGAGGTGGGACCTGGTGGAAGGTAATTTGATCACAGGAGTGAATTTCTCATGAATGGTTCTGTCATCACAATAGTGAGTTGTCACAGATCTGATTTTTTAAAAGTGTGTGGCACCTTTCCCCACTTCTCTCTCTTGCTCCGACTCTCACCATGTGAGACACATGTTCCCTCTTCACCTTCTGTCATCACTGTAAGTTTCCTGAGGCTTCCCCAAAAGCTGAGCAGATGCCAGCACCATGCTTCCTGTAAAACCCGCAGAACTGTATACCAGTTAACTCTCTTTTCTTTATAAATTATCCAGCCTCAAGGATTTCTTTATAGCAATGCAAAAATGCCTAATCCACCTTCTTTGTGTCTTTTTACAGTTTTTGACTTGAAGTTGATTTTATCTAACTACTCTTACTCCTTTTTGGTTTCCATTTGCATAGAATATCTTTTTCGATTCCTTCAGTTTCAGCCTATGTGCATCTTTACGTATGAAGTAAATTTCTTGTAGGCAAAATATGGTTGGATCTTTTTTTTTTTAAATACATTCAGCCACTCTGTCTTTTATTTGGGTAATTTAGTCAATGTACTTTAATGTTATTATTGATAAGTAAGAACTCACTATTGGCATTATGTTAGTTGTTTTCTGGTCATGTTGCAACACCTCTCTTCCTTACTTTCTTTTTTACCATATACCTTTGTGGTTAAGTGATTTTTCTCTGGTAGTATGTTTTAATTTCCTTGCTTTTTATTTTTAGTGTATCTATTATAGGTGTTTGCTTTGTGGTTATTGTGAGGCTTACAGAAAACATCTTAGAGTTATAACAAATTATTTTAAATTAACCAGTTATTCAAAATGAAAATTAATCACAAAGAAAAGGGAGAAAAACGGAAGAATACTTTACACTTTAACTCCATCTCCCTACATTTTTTTATAATGCCTGTGTCTTAACAAATTACTGTGATTATTACAATTTTTGATAGATTTTCCTTTTAATTTTCAAACTAGAGATATGAGTAGCTTATACATCACTATTGCAGTAGTAGAGTATTTGCCTATGCCCTTACTTTTACCAGTGAGTTTTATACATTTGATGTATTCTTGTTATACATTAGGATCTTTTTCTTTCAGAATGAAGAGCTCCCTCTAGCGTTTCTTATAGGATCGATCTAGTGGTGATCAATCTTGGTCAGTTTTCATTTGTCTGGGAAAGTATCTCCTTCATGTTTCACGGATAGTTTCTTGGATATAGTATTCATGACTGAAAGTTTTTTTCCAGCCAGGTGTGGTGGCTTATACCTGTAATCCCAGCACTTTGGAAGGCCAAAGCTGGAGGAAAACTTAAGCTCAGGAGTTCAAGACCAGCTTGGGCAACACTGGGAGCCCTTGTCTCTACAAAAAATTTGAAAATTAACCAGGCTTGGTAGCTCATACCTGTAGTCACAACTTCTCAGGAGGCTGAAGTAAGAGGAGCACTTGGACTTCAGGAAAATTGAGGCTGCAGTGAGTCGTGGTTGTGCCACTGCACTCTAGCCTGGGTGACAAAGTGAGGCTCTGACTCCAAAAAAAAAAAAAAGTATTCCCCCCCACTTTTTTTTTTTGAGATGGGAATCTGGGAGTCTCGCTTTTTTGCCCAGGCTAGAGTGCAGTGGCACAATCTCAGCTCACTGCAACCTCTGCCTCCTGGGTTCAAGCAATTCTCTGTAACAGCCTCCCTAGTAGCTGGGATTACAGGCGCCTGCCACCACACCCAGCTAATTTTTGTATTTTTAGTAGAGATGGGGTTTTACCATCTTGACCAAGCTGGTCTTGAACTCCTGACCTTGTGATCCACCTGCCTCAGCCTCCCAAAGTGCTGGGATTACAGGGCGTGAGCCCCCGCACCCTGCCAAAAAAAAAAAAAAAAAAAAAAAAAGTTTTTTTTTTTTTTCCCTTTACATTTTAAATATGTTTTCCCACTCCCTCTTGGCCTGTATGGCTTCTGCTAAAAAGTCGATTGCCAGACAGAGAGCTCGTTTACATGTTATTTTCTTCTTTTCTCTTGCTGCTTTTAGAATCCTTTCTTTGTTCTTGACCCTTGAGAGTGCAATGATTATATGCCTTGGGGTGGTCTTATTTGGATTTGAATCTATTTGGTGATATTTGACCTTCCTGTACTTGTAGATTATTATCTTTCTCTAGGTTTAGAGAGTTTCCTGCTCGATTTCTTTGAATAGCTTTCTACATCTTATTTCTCAGCTCTCTCTTGAGAGTGGACAGAGGGAGGGCACAGAGGCTGGGCTGAAGGGGAAGAAGCTGGGGACCCAGAACAGGGATGCTGCACACCAGGACTCATTCTGGCACCCACCAATTCCTGTGGAAGGGGTGAGTTTAACAGGCAAATGAGGCTTCGTCGGAAGCCTCACATGGTCAGAAAATAACTCTTGATTCTTCTCTCATCTCCTCGCGCCTGTTCTTCCTCCTCGCCCCAACTCATGCCCTACACTTTAATCTCACCGAATCTCAGCCGTTATCCATGTGCCTTTGTTTCCTTGCCTCTATATATCTTTCTGGCTGTCATGTCCCACCCCTCACTGCCCACCTGGAAACGTTCTCAGCCCAAATTTCAACTCCTTTACCAAACCTGTTCTCACATTCCCCCCCCAACTCATAGTAAGCGTGTGTCCTGGGTGTTTCCATAGCGCTGTGTGTATGTGTCTCCGCATAGAAATTGATTGCTGCTAGACTGAAATGCTACAAAGTTAGACTCTGTGTAGGAGTCTGAAATCTGAAGGACATTCAGATACAGAATGAAAGAGATGCTGAGGTACCTTGTAGATAGGGTGGAGGGCTAGCAAGCTTCTCATTGTAGCCCCAGCAATAACCTCAGCCATCAAGTGACTGTAACTGGTGCAGCTGGAAATCAGAGCTCCAGACCCTGGTCTTGGCCAGAAGCCAGGCCGTGGGGAGATTCAAGGGCAGAACGAGCAGAGGTGGCGGACGTCCAGGTCGAGGTGGCTGGAGCTAGAGCAGGAGAGAGAGTGGGGGGAGCTGAGGACCTGTGTATCTAAGTCCCTAAAAGAGATCAGTGACTGGTGGAAAAATACCTGGGCCCTCTTACCTGGATGACCATGGGTAAGAGTCTTCCATCGGGCTGAAGCTTCAGCATGACCAAAGGGACTGTCATGCATTGCTGCTTAAAAATGATGACATCAGGCTTGACCCCATCCAGCAGGGAGAAATCATTTCAAACAAAGATCCAGCCTGCAGGGGCAGGGGCAGGGGCTGGAATATAAACAGGGTTGAATTCATTTCTGGAGCTCTCTTTCTGTCATTTTCCAGGGTGGATCCTTCCTCTATCCCTCCAAGTCTTTTTTACTTTAAACTCCAACCACTTTCCCCAGAACCAAACAATTGAATGCAAAGTTTTATGACTGATGTCTTCCTTCAGACTTGGAGCTCCCTGCAGTGAAGTTTCTGGTTTTCTACCACATAAGACCCCCATGCCCAACCTCATTCTTCAATTATCCCCTCTTCTGTCAGCTTTAGCCAACATAGCAAAAATATTTCCTTTATCTACCCATCTCCCCCCAAAATAGATTCCGCTTCTAGCTCTCCAAAGCTTTGTTTAGTTTTTCTTGCTATTTTTCTCCAGAAGCTTGAGCTCCCCTCTAAGACTGATACATGCTCAATGAAGAAGGAAGAGAAGAACGTGGAGACAGAAGAGAAAGAAAAAAGATACAGGAGATGCTGTAGATCAACATTCTCAGTCAGGGGCGATTCCTTCTCTCCTGAATCCCCAACCCCAGGACTTTCGGCAATCTCTAGAGCCACGTTTAGCTGTCACGACCAGGGGGATGCTGCTGACATCTAACGGGTAGAGGCCGGGAATGCTACTAAACACTGTATGATGCTCAGTAAACCACCCCCCGCCCCCCCCACACACAGAGAATTATGTGGTGCAGAATGCTAATAGTGCCAAAGTTGAGAAATTCTAAGTGCAAATGCAGGAGGGTGTAGATGGAGGAGATGAGAGAAGGGGCTGGAGATGGGAGGAGAAGGAAGCAAAGCGAAGGGAGGTGGGGGTAATGGAGGTGGTGGGAATGGCTGGGATGGTGTATGGGCAAAAAAGGCCAGCAGCACCTGGAGTTCTTTCTCCAGCTGGGTCTTCAAGTCTTCCAGCCCTGGAGGCAGCACCAGGCGGGCTGGGAGCCTTGAAGAATGCCTCAGGAGCATGGGGTTTGCACCACTGAGAAACTGGTACCCAAAGAAGGCATCATCCTTCCAAGAATCATAAACGCACTCTAGGAACGTCAGTTGGGGAGCACACTGTGAGCTCTGAGCTCCTAACCCCACGGATACCTTACTCTTCCATTCTCTCTCCCCCATCTCTTTCAAATCCCTGGGTTGGAAATCTGAATATTGGTTTTGGGAGGTTGCGGAAACTGACCAGCCAGGGGAGTCTTTCCACCTGGGAATGTTTTTTTGAAATCTTCCAGCCTTCTCACACAATTTGTGAAATCCAGTGTCCCCTTAACGGCCAAGTCCTTCATCCTGTGGAAAGAATGGAGTGCAAGAAGATCAAGGAAGTATCCTACCTTGCACCCTGGGAAGTGCCCAGCCTCAACCTGGCACTCACCCTTTTGCTAGGGAGAACTTAATCGCTCGTTCCTGGGAAGGTCCAGTTGCCTATTCCCTGCTATAGGCAGGATTAACCCATCTTTCCAGGAACCCTACCTAGAGGAAGAACATGGAGGCAGGGGGAAGGGCGTGGGCGGCGGGTTTCTTGGCATCTGGAAGGGGATCAAGGACTTTCTGGGGCGCACTGGTATACCTTGTCACTCCTCCGCGCTCAGGCCTCTCCATCAGCCACCCTCCTCTGCCCCATCCTCCTTCACTTCTCCCCACTCCCTCATCTTTCCCTGTTTGGCAGTAGCCTCTCCCCAACCGCTTCTTCCTTAGCACCCCCGGGGCCGCGCCCCTTCTCCGCGGAGCTCACCAGTAGCCTAGGGCAGGTAGATAATCCCGTTGCCCTGCTCCCAGCTGTAGAAGGGGAAAAAGGCCTCGCCCCGGGTCCTGCACTGAGATCCGCTTGCAGAACCAGTGGAGACTCAACAGCCCGTTGTGCTCGCACAGCTTCACCATCAAGAGGCGCCCCAGGTGCAGGGGGACGTCGATCGCTACCTCCGCCTCCTGCGCAACAGGACGCAGCTCAGTGTGGGGTTTGGGGGCTGCAGGGAGGGCGGTGGGGTCGATGAAGCTTCAGAGAATCCTGGTTCCGCTCTCCCCTCGGAGGGAGATAATTGAACCAGGTGGAGGTGAGGAGGAACAGCCTCCCCGCTCCTGCCACGTCTGGGGAACCCCTGCGTACCCCAGCGGGCGTCTCTGGGTCTCTGCTCCTCCCACTCCAGCAGGGAAACGCCTTTCCTTTTCCTTGCCGTATCAGGCGCACCAAGTGCACCCGACCTGATTCTGCTGGGGCTCCGACCGCAGGCTGCTCCGACTGGCCCTGGCCCCAGCCCCCAGTAACTCTACTGCACTCCAGGGCCCTAGCTCTCACCGGGGTCCGCACTCACCTTTCCACGCACCTGCGACAGCTGCACCAGGTTGGGGGAGCCCGCCAGGAGTGAATCCCCCGTGGCTACGGGGACCCTGTACTTGCCCATCTTGCATGGACCTGGAGGGGGAATCCAAGGAGAAATCTGCTAGAAGAGGATCTGAGACCCAGCTCCCAGGGAAGCACGCCCAGGCTAGAGTGCCCGTTATGTTTGGGTTTCCCCACCTCCCACCCAGATTCCTCCCCCACTAGGAGGAGCTCTGGGACTATGCCAGGCTACGGGCTCTGTATCCAGGGTTTCTCCCAGCAGCTCCGGAGGGTGCAGCCCCACCCATATTCACTTGGCAAACACTCCCTGATGCCAGTTTCACCCCCTGCCATGAACTGAACACACTGGCCTGCGGACAATGACAGCTAAACACTAGCTCCCTTGTATGTGATGATGATAGCTACCATTTGTGGAATGCTTCCTTGAAGTGTAGGGGTGTTTTTCAATGGACAGCTGACACTTCCGCTCACCCGCCACTTACCTCTCTCCTGGACGTCCTGTGCTATGGTGAGCAAAAGGGCTTGAACCCCCTTCCATCTCCTCATGTTGAAAGAGTCAATCAAAATAGTTGGCTAAAGTAAAAAAGTATACAGATATACCTTAGTATTTTGGTTTAAACTGAAATCATAAATGTTGAGCCATTCATGAATTTTTAATAAAGGGCCAATGTGTTTTCATGGAATGGGAGTCCATAATAAGACTTGCATAAGCTATATCCGCATGAGTTGATTTTTACTTAAAATGGAGCTAGAACCTAACGGTTCCTGTGGGGAAAAAACCTAAATGCAGCCCCTATTTACATCTTTATAGTTTTCTCAAAACCATTTATAGTTGTATGGCTGACTTTTAGTCATCAAATTGACAGTGATTTTTAAAAGATTATTCATTATATAGTCAAAGTATTCAACTTATTTTAATAAAACAATACCTGTTGAGAAAACTGGCTAGACATATGCAGAAAGCTGAAACTGGATCCCTTCCATACTACCTTATACAAAGATTAACTCAAGATGGATTAAAGATTTAAACCTAAAACCATGAAAACCCTAGAAGAAAACATAGGCAATACCGTTCAGGACACAGGCACAGGCAAAGGCTTCGTGACTAAAACACCAAAAGCAATGGCAACAAAAGCCAAAATAGGCAAATGGGATCTAATAAAGCAAAGAGCTTCTGCACAGCAAAACAAACTATTATCAGAGTGAACAGGCAGCCTACGGAACGGGAGAAAGTTTTTATAGTCTACCCATCTGACCAAGGGCTAATATCCAGAATCTACAAAGAACTTAAACAAATTTACAGGAAAAAACCAATCCCATCGAAAAGTGGGTGAAGGATATGAACAGATACTTCTCAAAAGGAGACATTTATGCAGCCCACAAACACGAAAAAAGATCATCACTGGCCATTAGAGAAATGCAAATCAAAACCACATTGAGATATCATCTCACTCCAGTTAGAATGGCGATCACTAAAAAGTCAGGAGACAGATGCTGGAGAGGATGTGGGGAAACAGGAAGGCTTTTACACTGTTGGTGGGAGTGTAAATTAGTTCACCCATTGTGGAAGACATTGTAGCGATTCCTGAAGGATCTAGAACTAGATATACCATTTGACCTAGCAATCCCATTACTGGGCATATACCCAAGGAATTATACATCATTCTATTATAAAGACACATGCACGATTATTGCAGCACTGTTCACAATACCAAAGACTTGGAACCAATCCAAATACCCATCAATGTTAGACTGGATAGAGAAAATGTGGCACACATACATTATGGAATACTATGCAGCCACGAAAAACAATGAGCTCATGTCCTCTACAGGGACATGGATGAAGCCGGAAACAATCATTCTTAGCAAACTAACACAAGAACAGAAAACCAAACACCGCATGTTCCCACACATAAGTGGGAGTTGGACAGTGAGAACAATGACGATGAGACAAAGGAATAATGAGAACATAGGGAAGGGAACATGGGGCCTGTCGGGGGGTGAGGGGCTAAGGGGGGGATAGGATTAGGAGAAATATATAAATGATGGAGTGATGGATGCAGCCAACCATCATGGCACGTTTATACCTATGAAACAAACCTGCATGTTCTGCACATGTAACCCAGAACTTAAAGTACAATAAAAAAAATCGAGTATCTCCTAAAAAAAACCCACAAAAAACACCTGCATGTTTATACTCTTATTAGTTTGTTTATAAATTGCATCATTACAAATATAACTGACATAATGAGGTTTTGTTTGTTTTTTTTTTGAGACAGTCTTGCTCTGTCAACCAGGCTGAAGTGCAGTGGCATAATGTCGGCTCACCGTAACATCCGCCTCCTGGGTTCAAGCAATTCTCATGCCTCAGCCTCCCAAGTAGCTGGGATTACAGGCACCCCCACCACACCCAGCTCATTTTTTTTGTATTTTTAGTAGAGACGTGGTTTTATCATGTTGGCCAGGCTGATCTCAAACTCCTGACCTCAAGTAATCTGCCTGCCTTGGCCTCCCAAAGCACTGAGATTATAAGCGTGAGTTACCACGCCTGGCCATGAACATTATTGGAAGTTTACACAAGTATTCGTGATTAACATAAAGCTCAGTTGGTGGACAGCAAAGTGCCAGACACGTCAGAAGTTAGCCTACAGGCCATGTGCATTGGGCATGCTGTGGCACGTCCGTCTCCTGAGAAGTTGGTTATGTGTAGGTAATTTAAAAGCTTCTATTGTAAAATCTAGTTTCTCTGACACTGCCCTGTCCACTGTAGCCACATCTCCCAATACTCAAGAATCCTAACATGAGTGGTCATGACACTCATTCACGTTATTCACCAATAAAACCCTCTATCCATCCTTCCTCAAAATGAGAAACATTCTCCTATCCTTCCCATTGACTTCAACCTCTGACAAGCTTCATCTCCATTATCCTCTAGAGCCTCAACTTCTCTGTGAAGAAGATCGTTCTAACATTTTAGCAACATATTCCATCCACTTAACCTCCAATCCCCATTTTCAGTTTCAGTCACCAACCAGTGCAATCACAGCTTAGACTTCATTTGTCACTTAAAACTCTGAGAACACATGGACATAGGGAGGGGAACATCACATACGAGGGCCTGTTGGGGGGTAGGGAGATTGGGGAGGGTTAACATTAGGAGAAATACCTAATATAGGTGTCAGGGGGATGGATGCAGCAAACCACCGTGGCACGTGTATACCTATGTAACAATCTTGCATGATCTGCACATGAGCCCCAGAACTTAAAGTGTAGTAACAAAAAACTCACCTACAGTATTTTACCCATTTTGGGATTTATCCACTAAGCCCATGAGCCACTCTCCCCTTCCTGAAGATTACTACTGGAGAGAGAAGAAAGAGAGAGAGAGAAACTGAGTTTCTGAGAATTTTCCAGGTCCTGTGAAATCCAGCTCAACTCTCTTCCTTGGGTTCTGTGAGATACCCAAGCGAGTTTCCAATAAATTCCCCTTCGTTGCTTGAGTTAGCTTGAAGTAAGTTTCTAGAACAATGAACTTTACCATATATAAGGCCAAGAAAAAAAAAAAGAAAAAGAAAAAAGAAAAACACAACCTCTCAGGAGTGAATTCAAAAAAGAAAAGAAAAAAGAAAAACACAACTTCTCAGGAGTGAATTCAAATTACGGATGCATAGAAAGACATCATGAAGCCGGGCGCGGTGGCTCAAGCCTGTAATCCCAGCACTTTGGGAGGCCGAGGTGGGTGGATCACGAGCTCAAGAGATCGAGACCATCCTGGTCAACATGGTGAAACCCCGTCTCTACTAAAAATACAAAAAATTAGCTGGGCACGGTGGTGCGTGCCTGTAATCCCAGCTACTCAGGAGGCTGAGGCAGGAGAATTGCCTGAACCCAGGAGGCGGAGGTTGTGGTGAGCCGAGATCGCGCCATTGCACTCCAGCATGGGTAACAA